GCAAGCCCTCACACCACGTCAAGGTGTAGTACTCCGCAAACCAAAAGAAAGATGAATTCGTGACAGATAATGCATCAATCAGCATAGAAACGGGTCTCAGAACTTCGGTCAGAGATGACGGTTTCCTTAGACTGTCTAAATAATAACCGCGAAGGGAATGGGGCAACAATTGCTGGATCAGAAATAACAGCATATTTGAGAATGAGCGACCTTTGTTTTGGGGCTCAGGAGATACGTTGAATTAAAAAGAAAGAAAAAATGACTGGAGAACAGGAGGAACCTTGTCTAAAACAGTCATACAGGTGTTTGGAGACGGAAGAATTCGGAAGAACGTGGTTGAAGATAAACCGGGAAATCAAGGCTTTTTCTTTCTCGTGCAGTTTGGAAACCAGATCAGCAGAGGGATTTGTGACTGGAAAGTAATCATAGGGAGACAAGCTACGGGATACCACCTAAGGATGGAACCAAAATGTTTGGTTTCCGGTGGGAGAGGAGGCCACTTTTTTAGTCTTAAAAGAATGAAACGTGCGTTCGCTTTCTGTATGTTAAACAAACATTTATTCCGATTTTTTGAAAGAGCGATGAAGAGTTTGAAAAGTAAATGAATGCCACCACTGAAGGAAAGCCGCTCAGCCCGGCAATAGACACCATTGGGTTTGTCAGGATTAGTACAACATATACATTCCTTGAAGAAGAATCTGCGAACTTGAAAATTGGTAGAAAAATTTCTCCATTTTACGAATCAATACTTTTAATCGCACGTTATTCAAGGTTAGCCGTGAGATGATGGCCGTTCCCCTATCCGCGACCTGGGAATGCGCTGGATAATATACAGCTCTGCTTGCCCGAGAATTTGTTAAAGAGTAGATATGTGGTCGGTGCACCCTCGACCAGGTCTAAAACCAGACTGGTTCTCACGCATGCACTCTTTGCAAGCGGCAGACAATTGATGTAGTATGATCCCAGCAAGAAGTTTAGAAGCAATGTTGATCAAACTCTGTGGTTTTCACCTTTGTTAATCGGTAAGATGACTGCTTCACATCATTTAGTTGGAACCTGTTCCCTCTCCTCCACGAAAGTGTACGCTTCAATAATTTCGCGGTTGTCATAGGTAGACAGGAAAAACGCTTCTTGTCGGATGAAGTCAGCCTCACACCAACTAGTGGCACGTGAACCGGTAGGTTTCCGTGAAGTTGACCTTTTGTTTCTAAATTTCGAAATCTTAACCGATGAGGGCCACCCAACTGCTTGCGAAGAGGCTTTGTACCTTATATCCCATGTTTCTCCGTCACCCGGCAAGTATCAAAAAGAACGATCAGTTAATCAAAGGAAGGTATATTGTTTCCTGAAAGACTGTAATTTTGGCCTGACTCATGAGTATCTGAAAATAGAAAGTTTAGCAATCAAAGGTGCGGTATCTTACACTCTCATCATCTAATTTTATCAGTTCTCGCTGGATTCGGTACCGACATAAACAACTGTTAGAAACCTAGCTAAAGAAGCAACGCCAAGATAGTGTCATCGATGCTTAAAACGGAAGAGAGAGAAAGAGGGCAAGAGCGAATACTCCAAGCAGCCAATACCATAGAAACAAGCATACATGCAGAACAGGTAGACCAAAGTAGGCGATCACTCTCGAGCATGTTACACTGTCGGTTTGAAGTCACTACAAATTCATTCCTAACTGTACACGCCCACTCACTAACACTTGTCAACGCAATCTGCTACATATGTTCGTGCTTGTTTTGTGTGAGCGATTGAGGCGATTAAACGAACTTCTAACATTTCATGACGTATGTTCTTTCTGTATGACGATGCAATGGATAAATGGGGCTCACTGTTTAAAGTTTTTACCATAATCCATGTGATACATTAAACCTGAAACTAGTGTGAAAAGTACACGTTATTTAAATCTCTCATTACTGACACAATTCCCATGAGTTATTCCTTGGCTTTTAAAAACACATGCTAATTTCATGTTTTCTCACACACTTTTTTTTAGATAAAATGTCAATTAAAAAGAAAAAGTTCGTATCTGGATCTCAGTTAACCTTGTCCAAGAAAGGAACTTCTTTGAAGAAGAAGCTTAAAAAGGAGAAAAAGAAAAACAAGAAAAAACAGAAAGATATCAAGAAGAAACTTGGTTTAGCAGCTATTAGAGATGGGATAAAAAGCCCGAAAATGCAAGTAAAAGAAAAACTAAAGAAAACTACGGAAGATAAACTAAAAAAGAAAAAAGAAAAATTGAAAGTTTCCAAGAACAAGTGTGAGAAAGAGGTTTCGAAACCCCGTAAATCCAATAAATTTGGCGCCGCGTCTAGTGATAGTGAACCGGAGCCAATCGATAGCAATTGGAATCTGAACGATCCTGACGAGCAAAAAGACTCATGGCATGATGCACAGTCTGACATCGCATCCGAATCGGATGATATGGCGTCTCAATTGTCGGACGATCTTGCAGATTCCGAGACCGATTATGACGAAGAGTTGAATGAGGCCGAGCTCAATTCCCTGATTGTTTCCAATCGTAAGCGTGTTCGTGATTCTTCAGGTGGAGATACAGACGAGGACGTCGCATCAGACGATGCGGATGAGACAGTCTATTCAACCACACAGAATGCAGTCGACAAGGGGAAGCGTAAGTTGCTATTTATTTTGAGTATACACATGATATTTAATCACTTCCGAAATTCTAGGCAACCGTTCCGGTATACTTTGGGTGGTGGTAGTGGTGGTGTAATGGTTTAGTCGCTGTTACCAATGTGCTTTACACCCTATGACCCGAGGGTCAAACTCCACCGATCCCACCCAACTTTGGTAATAGGCAGCTTTACTGTCGTCCGGTTCAGTACCACGCACAATATAACGGAAACTGGTGGTTCGCCTCTCCAAGTTCCATGGCTTAGTTTTCCGGTTTCCATTACTGATCGGCGGGTCCTTGCAACTATGGAATCCACCCCGTTTGTTGTCGGTTATCACAAACTTTTCCGCCTCATTTAAAAAAACTTTTTCTTTTTTTGTCAGTCCATTCAGTTCTCACAGATTCACGCATTTCTTTGAGCGCATGAAGATTTGACTCATATACCTGGTTAACAAGCTGCTACAATTCAACGTTTCTCGTCAGACCTGTAATTGACCATTTACAACAACGGCTAGTTGCTCTGCAGCCTACTATATTACTGTGCGGGTGAACATTGCGAGTTAATATTGACTGTCAGTTGTTGAGCAATTCTGGCCGTCTGGATCATATAATCCGTACCAGATTGTCTAACCGGGTTGCAACTTCAAGTTACCACATTGCTCAAATCCGGCGGGGCAGGGTTTTGAATCCCATAGGGTTGCTACTGGGTCACCCAAAATGACTGCATCGATTGGTTTCTCGTCAACGTGACATCAGACGTTGATTGCCTGTGTACAGGTACAGATCATTCCTTACAGCACATCTTTTCTATTGCAGATCAAGCTAGCAATATTGAGCTGTTCGCTAGATTGTTTGATTCATGTACTCAGTCATCATCATCATCATCATCGTGCAGCGAAATACAGAGAAGCGAACTTCACTGATCGCTGCCAAACTTGCAATGCATATGCATTGGGGTTTGATGGGCGGGTACTTCTAGGGTGTCCAGCCACTAAGCAGGAGAACGATTAGGATTCTCGTCCAAAGCCTTTAGTTCTGACAAGAACCTAGGCGCAAGGCAGAGGGTGAAGCAGAGTGGAAACCCATTTGCTTGGATCGATTACTCCTCCGCTATTTTTACCAACTGAGACGCTAACTCGAGTCGAACCCCCAACTTGGAGGACCAGGAGACCGGACTTCGTCTGACCTCTACCCATTGATCTTCCAGGCATGATTAGATCTTTGGCTCGGTAAAAGGCATCCTGTGTAGCTCGTTGGGTCATAGAGGTGCACAATTCATCACACCACGTCAAGGTGCAGTCTCGTCTTGATGACATGTACCTAGTCCGTGGTTTGATGAATAGTAAGCCATCTGTTACACATTCCCAATCCCTATAGATTTTTCCTTCAATCGTGATGAGGGTCAGGGCTAAGTCCCAAGCTGATTATCATAAATGACAATAATAATATGGTTACTTTCATATTCGATCTTCGAATTTTCTCTCACTGTTTGTGCAGACTAAGCAGGAGTCTATTCCATTTTTTCATACGGAATATCGCGATGCATGGTAAAACAGGGTACTTCCCACCGTCACACTATCAATTTCTCAATAAGTCTTGCCACTAACTTCAACCATTGAACCTGGGGATACGAAATGCCGAAGGCCCTTTGTCAAACCTGATTGACATTGAACTGGGTAAAGACGGATCTACTTATGACCTATACACAACGACCAGTGTCTGTTCGCTTTATTTTTCTTGACTACGCTTGACCGTCGTATTCTCATTCAACGTCTTGCTGACTGCGGCCTAGGATCCGACGTACTAAACGTTCTTTTCAACTGCTTCTCTTCTAGGACACAATTTACCTCATGCAATGGTAAAACGTCGTCCCCTTTCTCTGTTAACTCTGGTGTCTTCCAGGGCGCCATTTTGTCCCCCTTCTTTTTTCCCTGTACATAAACCACCTGCCTGTCCCCACCAACTTTATTGTCTGTAAGTATGCCGACGATGTGGTGATGAGGTGCCTCTCCAATACTGAATCTTCTTTCCATCAATTCAAAGTAGCCTGAATGACGATTTTAGTTGGTCTTTACCCCGATCACTTGCTTAATGTTTCCAAATGTGTCGACGTTCCCTCCAGCCTTAAATCTGACTCCCGCTATCAAACTACCTTTAATAATCTACCGGATCTAGTAGTTAACAGTCACAGCATTCCCAAAGCTGTCTCTGTTAAATACCTCGGAGTCTTTTTATCCCACAACCTCTCTTGGACCTTACATGTAGAGAGCGTTTACAACAAGGTTCATAAACTCTCTTCTTATGCTTTCAGGCTTCGGAAGCTTGCTGTTCCCCCAAACGTAATTTTAAAATTTGTGGTAGCATGCATCCTCCCTCATTGGCCTTACTGTTCCCCTGTATTTTTTTCCGGCTTAAAAGAAAAATTTTCGCATTAATTTCCAGGTCTATTACACTCCTTTCTCGATGCAGCGGCATAGCCAGAGAAGTTCTGGTTGATTTTATTGTGTGCAAACATATCGACGCATGTGGAAGAATAGCTGACTGAATCTTGAACAACGAAGATCACTGCTTGCACAAAAAACTTACTAAATCCATGTCAACCCCCCGTACCCGCTCTCATTATAGGCTGCTTCCCGCACGCACCGTCGCATACAGAAACAGCATCCTCCCTTGCTCGCTTTCTAGTAAATCAGGCACCTATTATTACAGGTTTGGTTGAACACCTCATGAGTTAGTTTATTTATTCGTTTTTTTTACCCGTCACTATCGTCTTCCTGCGTTCAGTTTTCTGTCGTTTTCTTTAAATTTTAAATTAACCTATTCACACTCGGAGGCCATTTACCTCAGCTCCACTGTATTATCGTGAAAAATAGGTGAAAATTCACTCTACGGGTGCATAAAGCTTAATTTGACCTGACTTGACTTGTTCACCAAGGTTCTAGATACCACACCACAATCAAACTATACTCTCATCCGATGCAATGGATATGCTCCTTTTGGGGTTTGTGCTATCCGTATACTCTCTGTGTTTGGGGGCTAAAGTTACCGGTTCTTGTTACCACATAGTAGGTGTTTGTGACCATGTGTTGTGCCACGTTGTGAGAAGTAAACTTGAGTCAAGCCGGTTTCCGGTGATGTTCTCCACCAGAGAAAACGTTTTCACACGTACGGAGCCTGCATCATGAGTTTCTCATTTCCCGTGCGATTTTTCTATTCTTTTTTTTTAATTTAAATTTTCAGCTGTGACTGAGCGGAAGAAAAAACAACAGACTTCAACACAAGCCAAACAGTCAACTGATTCCAATGTAAGTTATCGTACCTACTGTGTTTTCTCGTTTCTCGTACTTCTGATTGTATTTCAAAATCAGTGGAACAGTGTGTGATACGCCTATGCACTGGTCCAGTTTCTTAATGATAGTGGAAGACTAGTTACTGTTATTGTTGTTGCAACTACTGCGTTCAGTGTGATGATAATGATGATGATGATTTTGTAATCGGGACCATCATCATCATCATCATTGTACAGCGTAATACAGTGAAGCAAACTTTACTGATCGCTGCTAAATTCATGATGCATATAAGATGAGTGAGAATTTGTAAGGAGGATAGGGATTAGATTTAATCTTGGGGACGGGAAAAGAAAGCGAACCTCTATGGTCAACACACAGGGAGCACGATTCAACTGTGCATACATACTATTCCAAACATTCTGGTCTGATAAGAAGTGACAGCAAGACGGTTTTTGCTGTCGATCTGCAGCCATGACCTTCAATGTCTCCAACCATGTGGTTACGGAGTCTCGTGGACCCCAACTCGGAAGACGAGAGACGTCTACTTTACCTAATCGCTCTATGGATCTCTTTATGCCTCGTCTTCACGTAATCTGCTGGCCATCGCATGGCTTTCTCTAGTCTGTAAACAAGGCACGGTGCTCTTGGCGACCGTCGGACTTATGCAAAGCGTGTCGTAACCAGCGGATCCTTATGAGTTGGATTCGATGCGATGGTAGATTTCTCCGTATTGACATTAACGAGAATATGGTTCTGAATTCCATTCTGTCGCATTCAACGGTCGTTAAGCACTAAGGGACACTCGANGCGTAACTTCTCGATTTTCTGCATATCCCTCCGTTCTGCTTTATGTAGCTACAGTTCCCTTCACGCATACTGACTGCCCCATTGTCACTGGACAAAAAAGCAACAGACTGTGGAAGATCGTTGTTAATGCCCACCGCTAGGTCACATTTATCTTATACAGTTTTCCACTTTAAGATATGCAACATATATTTCTATTCTATAGATACGGTCTGGCAACTGGCCGATTTTGGTTCCCTTAGGTAAATATTTTCTCCTATTATTGCTATGTATATATGTATATTTACAGACCACACGTGAGAAAGCAGAAAATGGTCAGGCGAAAAAACAAAAATTTGAAGTAAGTGTACATTTTTTTAGTTCATGTGATGGATATGGTTTGGGTTGCGTTGCATTGACCTATGAGTCAAAAACAACAAATGCACCTGAAGATGTTGTGAGTTTCTAAACCTTTCAAACTTTGCTTAGTGAGTGAGATTAGAAATTGTCCCGTCCAATTCAGACCAAATTCACCTACACGGTGGTCGTTAATCATTAAATTCGCAATCCAGTTCATATGTCGATTAGCACAAGGTGCT